AGTGAGGACTTTTTGCTCAACTGAACTATCTGCTCAGTAATTTCCTTTTTCTTGAAAGCACTACAACTACTCCAGATCTTCAACTGGTGTGCCCTTAAGGGCTGACTTAACAGTAGTTGGCAGGTTTCTAAGTGCGGAAGAGTTCTTCAAGTTGACATATCTCTTTGTTTTATATATTCTGACTCCTAGGGACTCTGAATTTCTAGATATGGGGCTGTGTTATTTAATCTAGTCTGTTAAAATAGCAGGAGTACATTAAAAGGTTTAAATGTAATTTAAAATGAAATTTTTAGAGGAGAAAAATATACATATATATATACACAATACGTATGTTTATTTAAAACAGAACAATGTATATAGAGGTTGGTAGTTTAGTTGTCTGAAAACAACTATCCCTAAAGCTTCCAAGGACCTATAGGCAAGATGTGCAAGTTCCAGCTGATGAGATATATTCCTTCTTCTAAAACAGAGTACTTTCTGCTTTTTTTTTTTTACTGTTAACAGTAATATATACAGTAAATAGAGTTATTCACAGTGTAATACATTTTACATCATGATACACCCATATACAATTTAAGTAAAACAAACAAAAATTTACTAAACATTATGAGAGATGCATTCTATTTCTTCTTTTTTTAAATGCTGGTCAAGAACCGCTAAATTTTGGTCACTCCTACAATTTGAAAAACACTGTTCCAGAAAAATCACAAAGATCTAGAATTCAGTCCTCAATAAAAATGACTTCAGCAGATATTAAGGATGCTCTGAACTTTGCTCTTCCAGTGTCATCCAACTGTTCATCTTTAAAGTTGCCTAAGCTTGTGTTGATTGTATCTGTCAAAATTCCACACTAATTCTCTGCCAACAGACTCTTCTAAAGGTACACCACCACAATGGTAACATCATAAATTTGTGCACACAGCCTCTGGGATGCTACATAGGATCCAGAAATAGAGGTAGGACTTGATTTTACTATATTATTAAACCCAATAACATAAAGTGCCAGTTTTGGGGTTTTTTTTTTTTTAACGGTAAACTTCATAAACTTGATCAACTCTTCAAACAAGACTGAATTTTGCATATACAGTATTTCCCCCTGTTATCTGCAGTTTCAAATACCTGTGGTCAATTGCAGTCTGAAAATATTAAATGGAAAATTCAAATGAACAATTCCTAAGTTGTAAATTGCATGTTGTTCTGGGTAAAGTGATAAAAATCTCATACTGTCCTGTCTAAAGGTTGTGAATCAACCCTTTGTGCAGCATTTCCATACTGTATACACCAAGCTTGTCCAACCCACGGCCCAGGGACACGTGTGGCCCAGGACAGCTTTGAATGCGGCCCAACACAAGTTTGTAAACTTTTTAAAACATTATGAGATTTACACACAGATCTATTTATTTATTTATTTATAGCTCATCAGCTATTGTTAGGGTAAGTGTATTTTATGTGTGGCCCAGGGAAGCCAAAAGATTGGACACCCCTGAGACTATCCAGCTGTTTGTCACTTAGTAGCTGTCTCAGTTACCAGATCAACTGTTGCAGTAACGCAATGCTCGTATTCTTATTTAATGACCCCAAAATACAAGAGTAGTGCTGGTATATTGTTATAATTGTTCCACTTTATTATTAGTTATTGCTATTCATCTCTTAACTGTGCCTAATTTATAAACTAAACTTTATCATAGGAGTGTACGCATGAAAAAACACAGTATATATAGGGTTTGGTACTATACAAGGTTTCAGGCATCCACTGGGGAATCTTGGAAAATATCCCTCAAAGATAATGGGGGACTAGTGTACAGTACCTAAAACCATTAGACTTAATTTGATTGTGTTCAAATGAACTCATTCTCCTTCTCAAATTTATTATATATCTCAATTATAGTAAAAAACTAGGGCTGGGCACGGTGGCTTACGCCTGTAATCCCAGCACTTTGGGGGGCTGAGGCGGGCAGATCACGAGGTCAGGAGATCAAGATCATCCTAACACACTGAAACCCAGCCTCTACTAAAAATACAAAATATTAGTCAGGCAAGGTGGCGGGCACCTGTAGTCCCAATGACTCGGGAGGCTGAGGCAGGAGAATGGCGTGAACCCAGGAGGACGAGCTTGCAGTGAGCCGAGATCACGCCACTGCACTCCAGCCTGGGCAACAGAGCGAGACTCCGTCTCAAAAAAAAAAAAAAAAGTAAAATAAAATAAAAAACTAGACAGGTGGCTGGGTGTGGTGGCTCATGCCTGTAATCCCAGCACTCTGGTGGGCAGATTATCGGAGGTCAGGAGCTCCAGAACAGCCTGGTCAACATGGTGAAACCCTGTCTCTACTAAAAATAGAAAAAATTAGCCCGGCATGGTGGCTCACACCTATAATCCCAGCCACTTGGGAGGCTGAGGCAGGAAACTCGCTTGAACCCGGGAGGCGGTGGTTGCAGTGAGCTGAGATCGTGCCACTGGACTCTAGCCTGGGTCACAGAGTGAGACTCTGCCTCAAAAAAAAAAAAAGAAAACTAGAGAGGCTACCCATCTCTCTCCATTTACATAAAGGTATACGTGAGAAAACATAAATTTAATCTCTATGCCGCATCTAGGCTCCATCCTAAATTGCTAATATACGTAAATGGAAAGATGACACCTACCTTCAGCCAATGTTAGCGCTTCCATGACTTTAACAGGAAGAGAAGATCCAAACGTTTTCACATCATAGTTCACAGACTCAGTTATGGAGTGGTGTGGGAACATTCGTGTTGGTGTTCCTCTAAAGAAAAAAGTCTAATTACCTTACTTATAACTTAAAATTTTCCATTATCCTAATTATTTATGTATATATTTTCACAATAAGGAGTTCTCTGAAAAAAATTAACACTGGCTCATATTTATCATGTAATTAAATGTAATATTTTTCATGTAAAAAGACAGGATTTAGGAAAACTTGGCTTCAATTCCATATGCTCTAGTAATAAAATGCATGCCTGTATTCGCCTAAACTCCTTATAATTCTGCCTCTTTAGCTGTGAAATAAGGCTTAACTAGACCAGTGTTTTTTTCAAACAGTGGGTCGTTTTGCAGATCTCAATCAATATTTTTGAAAGACAGAATATAAAACATCAGCTTTTACCATATGTTGTGGTCAAATATATTTTACAAATATTGGCTTAGATGAGATTTAAGTTCTCATTTGGCTTTAGGGTTTTAAGAATCTACCAGATCTGGCTGGGGCAGTGGCTCATGCCTATAATCTCAGCACTTTGGGTGGCTGAAGTGGGAAGACTACTTGAGACCAAGAGTTCAAGACCAGCCTGGGCAACATGGCAAGACCTTGTCTCTACAAAAAAAAATTTAAATTAGCCAGGCATTGTGGCACCAGCTTGTAGCCTGGGCGACAGAGAGTGAGACCCTGTCTCTTAAAAAAAAAATCTATCAGATCTGTACAACCAAGCAAGAAATCAAACAGGTTATGAGCATCAGCTGTTACATGGTCTTCAACAGCAGATATCAGAGTAAAAACTATTTCCTGCTCACACTCTTCTTAACATTTAGAATACTGTAAAGCCACCAGAATAAGTTGTTCTATGTCTTATGAGAATTAAATGAGGAGATGCACATACAGAACGGCTGAGGGCTTTGTTTCTTGACAGAGGATAACAAAGGTTTTTATTGAAATGATCACCAGAAAGAAGAGATTTAAATAAAACAACATACATAGTAAATAAAGTACGCTTTTATTCTCCAACTTTTCGTAAAAGGAACAGAAAACAATGCCAAGATCTGCACTTTGTACTTTTCAAAATATGCCAAAAAAAAGTCAAAGATACGGTGCATTCTTTAAAAACCACTTATCCTTTAAAGTACTGCAAAATTTTACAGATAAATTTTAACCATAATTTCAAGACACAATACTCGGTGTTTTCCTGCAGGGAAAAATTCATTTATTATAGATGAATTCAGAGAAAACTATGCAGAAACACGTTATCTTCTAAAGTTTTAGGTTAATTGTGAACATGGTGTGTGTTGGGGGGCGGGGGGAAGGGTGTGTGTGATTTTACTGGTGCTCCAAACCAGCAGTTTTAGTAACTAAATTACCACAGTACTCTTATCTCACTTATGTAAAGCCTTTTCCCTATAATTTACCTAGAAAGTTAAATTCCATAGCTAGAAACCCTTCAATTACCAATCATCAGATATTAATGTCAGTTGGTATATTAGGCATTAAACAATTATATTTCAGGGTTGCAGGTCCTCATTATCACCATCACCTTACATCTGCATCGTGGCAATTCATACTAACTCCTCTGGCTCAGGTGACATATATTATCGCCATTTCACAGATGAAGAAAATCACGAGTGACTTACGCCCGATCACAGCGGTAGTAGGTGGGAAGTGGGTAACCATTGATGCGAATCCGGTTTGTACTTCACTTCTGCACAAAGGAATCCACGAAAAATGCAAAGTGGGGAATCAACTCAAAAAGTGAAGCAGGTATGACCTGCAAGAGTGGAAAACGTCTATTTTCCAATACTCTGGCATTCTCTTCCGCCGCCCCTGGTTCCGAAGGCTTCTGAAGACACTAACCGATCCGGCCCACTGCGGCCGGTGAGCCTGCTGGTTGCCAGACCCAACCAAGGAGATCACTTACCGTGAGCTTAGCGAGCTACGCCGGCCCACCGGTGAGAAGAGCACTGGAGAGCTGACTGCAGACCCCAGGGGCAGACCCTTCCTGCTGGCCGTCCGGGGCGTGGAGCCGGGCCCGAGTCCGGCCAGGGGGCCCCTTCGGGACCCGGGACCCGGGGTCCGCGGAGAAGGGGCGGCTGGGAACATGACTCGAAGGAGCAGCGACTAGGACGGCGAGGGATCTGGCCGTCAGGTTTCAGCGCGGCCTGCGCGCGGAGATTAAACACCTAAGGGGAGGGATGGCGCGCCATGATGACGTCAAACGCAGTGGCTCTCGCGGGTTGCGGTAGGAGCGCTGGCGGGGGCGTGATCGTGACGTTAAGGGCGGTGCCCAGCCCGCGGGGTAGGTCGGGAAGGCAGCCCGTGGCCCCAGATCCAGAACCGTTGGAGTGCAGAGCTTCCAGGGACGTGGAGCCGCAAAGCCAGGCCTCCTTCTTGACTGCGCCTAGTTGGAACTGGCCCTCCAGCAACTTGAACGCAGCCTCTTTTCACACTGGTAGTTCCTGAGCCTCTTGTGAAATGAAAGATGTTCCTCAGTCCAAGCTGAGGACAGAGAAAAGCCGTAAAGCTGACACTGGTATCGCACTGTGATATTTGCTGTTTTCTAGGTTTGCCATTTTCCCATTCAACTTTGCACAGTTTCTTCCACGCTAATGACGCCATAAATCCGTGTCTCTAACCTGGATCCAGCTCAAAACCCCCAGACCCCTATCAAATCAGCTCCCTAGGGGACACATTCACCTGTAAGTCTTGCGGACTCCTCACAATCCGCTTATGAAAAGCACATTCATGTTTTCCTTTAGGACCCCTCTCCTACCACCATCTCTGTCCCAGCTTGGTAAGACTGGCCAGTTGTCCAAGGCAAAGAGAGGAGCTCTATCTGCAGTCATCCCTCACACTTACCTCCACTCTAAGATCCTGGTATACGTTGTAGCTCCTACGTATCTGTATTAGATCACACATTTGCACCGCCTCTGCCCTGGTTCTGGTACTTTTCTTCAACCACTGCGTAGTCTCTTTACTGCCAGCGGGAGGGAGTGGGAGAGACGAGAGACGGGGAGATGGTTCCTTACCTGTGTCTAGTCTGACTCCACTCTATCTTCTCAGTGCCAACCCAATGAATTAAGGCAAACCTAATGCTGCTCTTGGGCCTGTAAATGCTTCAGTGGCTGACCATTGCCAGTAGTTATTTGCTAAGCTCCTTTGCAAGGTCTTATGTGATCTAAGTCAGGTTGGCTTTTCTGTCCGTGTTGTACTTCCACCACTTCCCACTTGTACTCCACATTCCAAGAACTTAAAAACCCAAATCCCCCTCCATTGCGCATGCACATGTTTCTTTCACCTGGAATGCACTCCGTGCCTTGTTGGTCCAGAAGGCGCCTACCTTACGCATCAAGTCAGTTCTGTTGCTGCCTTCTCAGTGAAACCTTCCACAGGATTAGATACCCCTTATCCTTTTTGTCCTCTCTGCTCCTTTGTGTAGACTGTATTTTTATCCTGCATAATAGTTTGTTTTCATAACTGTCTCTCAAGTACCTCCTTTTAAATGTCTTTTAAAAGCAGCAGGAGCAATGACTTTGTTACCTTTGTGGCACACAGTAACAGACATATAGTAGACTTTCATTCAACACGTGTTGAAATAAGGGAATGGTTAAGTAAACATTGATGTATCCACATGTGGGAGACCACAGTGTGGGTGTCAGTTGTTGACATTCCCCTGGGAAGCCAGTCATCGATCTATGCATGTCAGTGGCATCTGAGCAGTTATCTTGCCAAGGTTCCATAGGCTAGCTGCCTTACTCCTTCTCCAACCTGGGTGTCTAATCCAACTTGGCAGCTTGTTGAGTCTTAGGGCTCTGAGAGCCCAGTGCATTTCCCTCCTGTTTCATTCTTACAAGGAGGGGTGTGAAATAGGCAATAAAGAGTATTAATAGTTGTGTCTGAGAGGATTGGTGGGATCAATTGTATTCTTGTGCCTTGTTGGACTGGTTAGTGGTTTCTCCACCATCCTATTGTAAAAGCTGTTGTTTGCAGGAGTTAGAATGACTTGCCGGCACCTTTGAGCAAGAACTTTCCTGGAGTCCAAATGTATGACTTGAAGGATAGTGAGCAGACAGCACTAAAAGTCATCCATTCGTTATGGATTTAGTGAGTACCTACTATTTGTCAGGCTATGTGATAAGTGCTAAGGCTTATAACTAAACAAAGCCCAACAGGTCCCACCGTCATGGAGATTACAGACCAGTGAGAAAGACAGACACTGAAAAAATGAACACAAATATCCAGCTACAAGCTGAGATGTGTACTATGAAATAAAACAGCAAAGTGTATGAGAGAGAATCACTGGGGCTTCCTATTTTTGGATGGAGGTCTATAAAGGCCTCTGGGAGAAAAGGACATTTAACCTGAGACATGAAGCATAAGAGAATACGAGGAAGAATATTTCAGGCAGAGGATCCTTGGCCAAAGGTCCTGAAGCAGCAAAGGACTTGGTGCATTCTAGGGACTTTATTTATTTTTATTTTACTTTATTATTTTTCTAGCGATTGGGTCTTACTCTGTTGCCCAGGCTGGAGTGCAGTGGCGTGATCAAAGCTCACCACATCCTTGACCTTCTGGGCGTCAGTGATCCTCCTGCCTCAGCCTCAGAGTTGGGACCATGGGCATGTACCACCACACCTGCCTATTTTTTATTTATATATACATTTTTAGAAATGGGGTCTCATGGCCAGGCACAGTGGCTCGCGTCTGTAATCCCAGAACCTTGCAAGGCTAAGGTGTGGGAGGATGGCTTGAGGCCAGTAGTTCAAGACCAGCCCCTGGGCAACATAGTGAGACCCTGTCTCCCCAAGAAATTTTATTTTAAATTCTAAAAAAATACAATTTAAAAAATGGGGTCTTGCTATATTTCCCAGGCTGGTCTCAAACTCCTGTGGCTTTAAGTGATCCTCCAGCCTCAGCCTCCTGAGTAGCTGGGATTAGAACCAGGGACTTTAAACAGACAAATCAACCTGAAAGACTAAAAGTAAAGGAAATTGGAGAAATAAGGAGAGACTATGAAGGGCCTTTAGACTCTGTCAAATAAGATCCTAGAGAACGCCAGGCGTGGTGGCTCACGCCTGTAATTCCAGCACTTTGGGAGGCCCAGGCAGGTGGATTGCCTGAGGTCAGGAGTTCAAGACCAGTCTGGCCAACATGATGAAATCCCGCCTCTACTAAAAATACCAAAAAATTAGCTGGGCATGGTGGTGTGCACCTGTAATCCTAGCTACTTGGGAGGCTGAGGCTGGGGAATTGCTTGAGCCAGGAAGGTGGAGGTTGCAGTGAGCCGTGATGGCGCCACTGCACTCCAACCTGGGCAACAGAGCAAAACTCTGTCTCAAAAAAAAGAAAAGAAAAAATCCTAGAGAAAACAGATGGTACCCTCAAGCTAGGTAGTTAAAAGAATTTAATAAAGGAATGTTAGAGCCTGGGGGCGGTGGCTTACACCTGTAATCCCAACACTTTGGGAGGCCAATGCGGGCAGATCACCTGAGGTCAGGAGTTCGAGACCAGCCTGGCCAACCTGGTGAAATCCCGTCTCTACTAAAAATACAAAAATTAGTCAGGCGTGGTGGTGCGCATCTGTAGTCCCAGCTATTTGGGTGGCTGAGGCAGGAGAATAACTTAAACCTTGGAGGTGGAGGTTGCAGTAAGCTGATACTATGCCGCTGTACTCACGCCTGAGCAACAGAGCGAGACTCTGTCTCAAAAAGTAAATAGGCTGGGCGCAGTGGCTAACGCACGTAATCCCAGCACTTTGGGAGACTGAAGCAGACAGATCACAAGGTCAGGAGTTCGAGACCAGCCTGACCAACACGGTGAAACCCCGTCTCTACTAAAAATACAGAAATTAGCCAGGCGTGGGGTGGTGCGCACCTGTAATCCCAGCTATTCACGAAGCTGAGGCAGGAGAATCGCTTGAACCTGGGAGGCAGAGGTTGCAGTGAGCCAGGATCGTGCCATTGCACTCCAGCCTGGGTGACAGGGCAAGACTTTCTCTCAAAAAAAAAAAATAATAAAATATGTGCCATGGTGGTTTGCTGCACCTATCAAATCCATCACCGAGGTATTAAGCCCCACATGCATTAGCTATTTTTCCTGATGCTCTTCCTCCCCCTACCCTCCCAAAGATGTTTTTTATGATGGTAACAGTGGCCGGGTGCATATCTCACGCTTGTAATCCCAGCACTTTGGGAGGCCGAGGTGGGCGGATCACGAGGTCAGGAGTTTGAGACCAGCCTGGCCAACATGGTGAAATCCTGTCTCTATTAAAAATACAAAAATGAGCCGGGCGTGGTGGCACCCACCTGTAGTCCCAACCACTCGGGGGGCTGAGGCAGAAAATCGCTTTAATCCAGGAGGCAGAGGTTGCAGGGAGCTGAGATTGTACCACTGCGCTCCGGCCTGGACGACACAGCAAGACTCCATCTCCAAAAAAAAAAAAAAAAAAGAAAAGAAAAAAAGATACAAAAATTAGCTGGGCATCGTGGGTGCACAACTGTAATCCCAGCTACTCAGGAGGCTGAGGCAGGAGAATCGCTTGAACCCGGGAGGCAGAGATTGCAGTGAGCCAAGATCGGCCGCTGCACTGCAGCCTGGGCAACAGAGTGGAAAAAAAGAAATGGTAGCAGTTCATATTGAAAAGGCTGTGGGGAAACAAGCACTGCTTACATATCTATCTGGTGGGATTGTAAAAGTACAATCTTTTAAGAGGACAATTTCTATCAAAAAGTCTTATAATTACTTGGCAATTTCACCTTAGAAATTTATGTGAAAAAAATCAAATAATAAAGACAATATTGTTTATAATAGTGAAGGAAGTAGAAAGTAACATAAATTGTCAACTAGATTTATAGTGCATCCACATTATGGAAAACTGAAAAAAAAAAACTAAGGTCCTGAGTCTGAAAAAAAAAAGCATTATGAAAAGCTATATTTAAAAGAATACATATGGACGTGAGTAATGAACACTTAACAATGTAGGAAAATATTCGTGCAAATTTTCTGAAAAGCAGTTTGGTTAAAAATAGTATGTGCAGAGAATTAGGTCAAAGTTGCAGTTACAAAAGATGCATAAGTCTAGAGATCTAATGTACAGCATAAGGATTATAGTTAACAACATTGTATTATATCCCAAAAATTTGCTGAGAGGAGATTTTATAGACTCTTTCCTCAAAAAACCCCAAAAAAGGTAACTCTGGAAGATAATGGATATGGTAATTTGCTTGACTATAGTTTACTATGCATACACATATCAACATCATGTACACCTTATAGAATAAAAAATAGTGTGTGCAGTGACAGGGTTTAGGTCTTACCACCCCAAAATGTGACACCTTGGCATTTGAGAACACAGTAGAAGCAGGAAGATCATTCTCTGACCTTCTTCCACCCTTCTCCCCTAAAGCAGGTCATAAGACCCTCATTTGAGAGATGCCTTCCCCATACCTGGAGGAAAGAAACACCCTTATCTCTGAAGACACAGGGCCACAGAGAAGAGTCTGAACAAACAGGCTTTAACAAGTTCCCCCAGTTATTACCATTAGATCAGACCTTTGTCCAGTCATACCTTTCCGCATGTTGTCCACTCATCAAACCTAAGCATAAAAATGCACAAGTTTCCCTGTTTGTTTGGGTCTTCATTTCCAAAGGCTCCTATGTCATGTTAAACTTTTAAATAAGTTTGCATGCTTTTCTCTTGTGAATCTGATTTTTGTTATAAGGGCCTTAGCTATGAACCTAAGATGGGAAGAAAAGGTATTTCTTTCCCCCTACATGCAATATAAGCACATTTAAATTTTATTAAAATAAATAGAAAAATACCTCCCCAGTGTAGACATGTGTGTATGTGTGAGGTGCCCAGCCAACTTGTGGTTCTACTTGGAGATGTGCCTCTCCTCTGTACGTCCTTCCCAAAATATCACCTTTGCAGTTAAGATCAAACTTTGATCTGTGTAGGACTAACAACTGCAGTCGACAACAGGAAAGCAGCCAGAATGATTCCCTGCTGATGTGGTGGAATTACTAGACTCCCATTCTCACAGCATGGTAATTAGTGTGTGAAAATGGAGAGGCACAGGAACAATGAAGAACACATATGAAAATTACACACACCCAGTCATTTTCAGGGCACTCATCTAATCCTGTCAATGGAACTTTTTGAGATGGCTCTAAATTTCAGCGTGGTTTAGAAATCCTTCAAGTAGTGCGGAATTTTTTCACTATCTCTGGCATCAGTGAGGTTTCTGTCAGGCACCTCAGCTTGTACGCCATGTAGTCTCTGTCACAACTCCTCCCCCTTGTGGCTATAGTGTGAAAGCAGCCGTAGACAATTCGTACAAGAAGGAGTAAGCTGTTTATGGACACTGAAATTTGAATTTCATGATTTTTTTTTTTTTTTTTTTTTTGAGACGGAGTCTCGCTCTGTTGCCCAGGCTGGAGTGCAGTGGTGTGATCTCGGCTCACTGCAAGATCTGCCTCCTGGGTTCACGCCATTCTCCTGCCTCAGCCTCCGGAGTAGTTGGGAATACGGGCACTCGCCACAATGCCCCGCTAATTTTTTGTATTTTTTTTCTTTTTTTTTAGTAGAGACGGGGTTTCACGTTAGCGAGGATGGTCTCGATCTCCTAACCTCGTGACCGCCCGCCTTGGCCTCCCAAAGTGCTGGGATTACAAGCGTGAGCCACCGTGCCTGGCCGAATTTCAGGTATTTTTAATGTGTCATGAGATATTTTTCTCTCGATTTTTTCCAACAATGTAAAACTGTAAAAACTATCCTTAGCCTGCAGGCTATACGAAAACAGCTGTTTGCCAACCCTTGCACTAGCTTTGTGAGGGAGGCACAGTTGGCACCTAGCACAGGACCTAGCAAAATCGGAGATGCTCAGTAAATGTTTATTGAATGAATTCAGCGGACAGAGATGACCAGGAAAACCCCATGATGCCTCAGAAATACACTCCAAAGGAACATTTACAATGTAGTTTTCACATAATTATTTCATTTATATTTGTTTTGTAACATTTGTACTGGTTTTCACTTATTTATTTATTTACTTTTGAGACAAGGTCTCACTCTGTCTCCCAGGCTGGAGTGCAGTGGTGGGATCTCCGGCTCACTAAAACCTCTGCCTCCCAGGTTCAAGCGATTCTCCTACCTCAGCCTCCTGAGTAGCTGGGATTACAGGTGTGAGCCACCACGCCTGGCCGGGAATTCATCTTATTTTATAAAACTGCCAAAGCTTATCAAAAATAAACTAAAACCAGGCCGGGCGTGCTGGCTCACACCTGTAATCCCAGCACTTTGGGAGGCTAAGGCAGGCGGATCGCTTGAGCTCAGGAGTTCAAGATGAGCCTGGCCAACATGGTGAAACCCTGTCTCAACTAAAAATACAGAAAGCAGCCGGGCATGGTGGGGCACGCCTGTAGGCCCAGCTATTCGGGAGGCTAAGGCAAGAGAATTGCTCGAATCCAGGAGGCGGAGGTTGCAGTGGCCAAGATCGCGCCACTGCACTCCAGCCTGGGTAAGAGTGAGACTCTGTCTCAAGAAAAAAAAAAAAAATGAATTTCCAAAATGGAGCCCTACTTTTATAAGAGTGCACTTAACAAGGGTATGACCTACAATGGTTTAACTTGTGATTATTCTTTGAGAACCTGTCAGGCCCAGGGTCAGGGGAGACCTTGCACATAGAGACAAGCCTGGGAGGGTATATAACAAAATGCTGAGCTCAACAATGTGAAAATTTTCTTTTCTTCTTTTTGAAATGGAGTCTCACTCTACCACCCAGGCTGGACTGCAGTGGTGCGATCTCGGCTCACTGCAACTTCTGCCTCCCGGATTCAAGCAATTCTCCTGCCTCAGCCTCCCAAGTAGCTGGGATTACAGGTGCCTGCCACCACGCCCAGCTAATTTTTTGTATCTTTAGTAGAGACGGGGTTTCACCACGTTGGCCAGGCTGGTCTCGAACTCCTGGCCTCGTGATCCACCCGCCTCAGCCTCCCAAAGTGCTGAGATTACAGGCATGAGCCACCACACCTAGTCAAAAATGTGCAATTTTATCTTCACATGGGGGATTTCAGGTAAATTTTCTTTTTTGCTTATTTTCTAAATTGTTTACATGAAGATACATACACCTTCAAAGGCTCTCTATGGAATAGGACAAAAGGTAGTATTTGCAGCATAGCTTTGAGCTGGCCCCTGCCTATCTCACTAATATCTTGTTTCATCACTTCTTGCCTGAAACTGTGTATGTCATTAATGCTGAATTCACAACTTGCCTATGCATATTTCCTCCTCTGTGAAATGGGGAAGATAAATATTTGTCTAAATTACAGGCTTGTCAAAGTATCAAATGTAACATACAAACACTCGGGAGACAAAAAAGTGATACCAGAACACAGTGTTACAACTACACCTCTCTATGGTGCCTAGCTGCATTCTTGTTATTAGTTTTCCCCTGCCTTACCCCTCCTTCAAAACTGGAAGTTCCTTGAGGGCAGAAACTGCTTTCCTCATCTATCATCAACTTCACAGCACAGTGCCTTGTCCCTGATGTGGGTAGGAGATACTTATTTACTGCAGTGAAACAACAGAATATTTGTAAGTAGGAAACAAGTGATGACATTAACAAACTTGATATGGAGGAATGAATGGAACTTTTAATTACAACATGTTTTTCTATATGTGTAATGTTAGTCTTTTCTTTATTCCTGAATCTCCACAGCCAAATTCTAGTAAGAAACAATGTAGTGAGAAGTTTAATAAGAAATGACAGACTGCATCTTTGGTTCCGGGGTCATTAAAAAAAAAAAAGTGACAGACACAGATAAAGTTCACTATAAATTTTAATCTATGATATAAAATATTACCTAAAGATATAATTGAACATCATGTATCAGAAAATAAAACATAACAATGAAATGCAATTTTGTAAATATTTCTATGGCACAAGGATTATTTTCCTCAGATTCAACCTTGTAATTGTGTTTTGTTTGCTTTCTGAAAATCACACTTTATAAAGAACACAAGTAGAGCTTGTTAAAAATGATCGTCACAGCTGTACTGTTTACTAATTCAAAGAACACTACATTCATTCATATCAATTTTATTAATTATGAAGAATATAATATTCCATGCTTTTCATGAAATAGTGGTTTCTTCTTCCAGTCTAATCAGGGAACTGATAAATGCTTAGTTCATGGAAAAACTTCCATTCGATTTCCATTGACTTAATTACTTCTTAGGGTCTAGCCTCATCAATGGAGAAAAAGCACTTTTTCTTGAGGCAACAGCAAATTAACAGCACTGATACAAAATATGGCAAATTCAATGGTTGTAGCATTACTTTAGGAATTTTGAGACTATAAATAAAACTATAACCATAAATAAAAGGGCTTCTTAATATCTTCTTTTCAGGAGAGTGATACATTCTGAAGGTTTCTTGTTATTCTGTTGAATAGCAAGGACTTCCAAACTTAAATTTCTTAAGGCTGAAAATATTCCCCAGATTTTAGCCTTATTAATGAAATTCCAAAAGTATTACAAAATAAGATTCAATTTGTCTTGAAAATATAAATTTGTAACAGATATTTTTCAAAATACATGCCTTCAAACAACTTAAATGCAAAAATCATTCATTGTTAATAATACCTAGTAGTTCATGCCTTGCTTCCCAAAAGTACTCATACAAACATGTGAATTTAAAAAATACATTTTCCTGTTCAAAAAATAAAGCTTCTGCCCTTTTAAAAACTTGTCAGGCTTTCATGTGCCACAATGTTGAAAACTGCACATATTCAAACATAGTTCCCATAGGAACACATATTCCTCAACTCTCACACCTTTGAAGACAAAGGAGACGGGCAATGGAAATGTTCCCTTCTTTCCAGCTGATGTTAAAGAGTTAGGTTTGCTTCATGAGATTATCAGAATAAAGGGTTAAATTTTCATTTTCCATTACTCTTATCTAGTAAAATTAGACTCAAAAGTAGGTAGAATACTACCAGAAGAATTACACAGTGATTGGTAAACTGGCCTAAAATAATCAGGCTTTTTATTTATAATTCCCTTTTTAAAGTTGTCATTTGACAATAGCTTTAATCTTTAACAGTAGGCAAAAGAAAATGAGGTGCCATGCTATATTGATTAAAGTATTCCACAATAAAAGAAAATACAGAACCTGAAAATAACTTCAGTGCTATAGACATTTACAAAGTTACAATTTTTAAAACTCTGAATAAAAAGATCTTGAGAACAGGTACATTTCAAAACAATATTTTACACACTTTGGAAAAAAATAGGTATTTTTCAAATAACTTGATATATGGTTTACGTATTTCATACAGTCTCTTTTTTTTTTCTGTAACACTGTTTTGCATTAAAGTCTTTCATGTTGTTTACCAGTAATTGTTTCCTTATGCTGAAATAAAACTTTGTTTGTTCATTAGTTTTCTGTATATCCCATTTGGTTTTGAAAGCAGCTCTTCATGTTTTCCATATTCAGTAATTTTTCCTTGGTCAAGAACAGCAACCATATTAGCATTCTTAATGGTGGAGAGACGATGGGCAATAACTAACACCGTTCTTCCATCCATCAGTCGATCTAGAGCTTCTTGAACAAGGTGCTCATTTTCAGCATCTAGCGCACTGACTCAGGAGCACACACGAGAAAGCAAAGATGTCAGTGACACCTACACTACAGGCTCATGTGCTTCCTGATACACACACTGCAGCCCTTCCTGAGCAATGAATTTTTACTGTGATCAAAATTTCAACTGTTTGGGACTTTCTGATTTCCATAAAACTATACTGTAATATAAGGAGAAAAGCATTCTGCACAGTTACGGCTTACAGAGTGATTGGGATTGATGGCAACCATGTCTGAAGTGGACCTAGAACCCTCAACTAGGACTCAGACTGCCCACTCCTTTTCAACTGTCACTATTAATTCAGCCTCCCTCACTTTAAAGTAAAGGGGGAAAAAAAGCATTTTCAGTTGTATCACTTTGAGGTACAGAATTAAAATGTTTTGGTGAAGAAGAATTTGGTTTAATACACATAATCGCATATATTATTAAGATATCCTCACCTGGTTGCTTCATCTAGGAGAAGAATTTTGGGATTCTGAAGAAGGAAAAAAAAGGAAAAGATAAAACAATTTTATTGGAAAACACAAACTCTCAGCAATAAAAAGGAATAAAATTCTGACACATGCTACAATGTGGATGAGCCTTGGAAACTTATGCTAAGTAAAAGAAGCCAGACACAAAGGATCACACACTGTATGAGTTCACTTATATGAAATGTCCACAACAGGCACTTCTTTTTTTTTTTTTTTTGAGACGGAGCCTCACTCTGTCGCCCCGGCTGGTGTGCAGTGGCCGGATCTCAGCTCACTGCAAGCTCCGCCTCCCGGGTTTACGCCATACTCCTGCCTCAGCCTCCCAAGTAGCTGGGACTACAGGCGCCCGCCACCTCGCCCGGCTAGTTTTTTGTATTTTTTAGTAGAGACGGGGTTTCACCGTGTTAGCCAGGATGGTCTCGATCTCCTGACCTCGTGATCCGCCCGTCTCGGCCTCCCAAAGTGCTGGGATTACAGGCTTAAGCCACTGCGCCCGGCCCACAACAGGCACTTCTACAGATTGGTGGATACCTGGGGCTGGGTTCAATGCAGGAAATAAAGAAGGGGAGCTGCATGGCTGCTAAAGAGTAGAGGGTCCCTAGGGGGGTGATGAAAATGTTCTAAAATTGAGATGATGGATGCACAACACTGAATAAACTAAAAACCAATGAATTATATTTTTTTAAATGGGCAAATTATGTAGTAGGTGAATTATATCTCAAACTGTTATAAAAAACTCCACAAAGTATTAAGTGTCTGGGATAAGTACATAAATGAAAGAATTAGGGACTATTTTAAATGATCATCAGAGTAACCACTAGACCAGCTATCGTTTATAGCACAGTTTTATCCTGCTGGTCAGTGAGATGGGAATCTAAAATGAGTAAGGTGGCCGGGCCTGGTGGCTCACGACTGTAATCCCAGCACTTTGGGAGGCCGAGGCAGGTGGATCACCTGAGGTCAGGAGTTTGGGACTAGCCTGGCCAACATGGCGAAACCCCGTCTCTACTAAAAATACAAAAAAATTAGCCGGCCTGGTGGCGTGTGCCTGTAATCCCAGCTACTCGGGATGCTGAGACAGGGGAATCGCTTGAATCTGGGAAGTGAAGGTTGCAGTGAGCCAAGCTTATACCACTGCACTCCAGCCTGGGTGACACACTGAGACTCTGTCTCAGAAAATAAATAAATAAGTAAGTAAATAAATAAATAAATAAAATGAGTAAGGCTGGGTATGGTGGCTCACACCTGTACTCCCAGCACTCTGGCAGGCTAAGAGGGGAGGACTGCTTGAGCCCAGGAGTTCAAGACCAGCCTGGGCAAAATAGCAAGACCCCATCCCTACCAAAAAAAAAATGTTTTTTTAATTAGCTGGGTTTGGTACGGTATGCACCTATAGTCCTAGCTCCCCGGGAGGCTGAGACAGGAAGATCACTGAAGCCCAGGAGGTCAAGGCTACAGTAAGCCATGATCACACCACTGCACTCCAGCCTGGGTGACAGAATGAGATCCTGTCACAAATTTAAAAATTAATAAGATACAAATAAAATTAGAAAGATACAGTCTATAACTTTCAAGGTCCTGCTTATAATTTAAAAATAATAAACTAACTTTGGGAGGCCGAGGCAGTTGGATCACTTGAGGTCAGGAGTTTGAGACCAGCCTGGCCAACATGGTGAAACCCCATCTCCACTAAAAATACAAAAATCAGCCTGGTGTGGTGGCATGCGTCTGTGATCCCAGCTACTTGGGAGGCTGAGGCGTGAGTATCACTTGCAACCTGGGAGGCAGAGGTTGCAGTGAGCTGAGATCGTACCATTGCACTCCAGACTGGGTGATAGAACGAGACTCTCTGTCTCAAAAAAAAAAAAAAAGCTAACACGTAAGATAAAAAAAAACAAAAAAAAAAAACACTAATCTGATGTCGATAAAACATTACAATCCTAGCTTAGCTTTGCAAATGAAAACATACACCCTCACAAAAAGGTGGCTACAATAATATATTGTGAATATATTATTCACAATAGCCCCAAACTGGAAATGACCCAAGCGTTCATCAGCTGGTGAACAAATCAACAAATAGGATCCATCCATACTACTCAACAGTAGAAGGGAATAAAGTACTGATACAAGCTACAAATTGGAGAACTCTCAAAAACACTCCACCTGTACTAAGTGAAAGAAGCGAGATGCCAAAAACCATATACTGTCTGATTCCATTTATCTGAAATGTTTGGAAAAGCAAATCTACACAGAGAGAAAGTAGATTCGTGGCATCCTGGGGCTGGAAACAAGGAACGACTGCAAGTGGGCCCGAGAGATCTTTTTAGGGTGACGGAAATGTTCTGAAACGGGACTTTGTGTGCAACCAACTCTGCAACTTTACTAAAAGTCACTGGAAAGTACATTTAAAATAAATGAATTTTACGTATGTAAATTCCACTTCAGTAAAGCTGCTTTAAAAAAAAAAAAATCACCTATAAGTCTGAGGAGAACAGTTGTATAACAAAGGGAAGGCTATTGCGTCCTTAAAAAGAGAAGGCCTGCCTTTCAGCTAAAATGGCTCTTCCCTTTCCTTCTAGGAATCTTGCCTAAGTACTTCAAGTCTGTACTATTCATTTTAGCAGCTGATTACAGATTGTACAAATATGCACACTTGTGCTGTTTTATATTTTGCATTAATAATCACTGTTTCACTGGCTAGAGTGTATGCTTCTTGATGCAGGGTCCATGTGTTAACATTCTTCTACCTCCAACAACCTTAGCACAGTACTGGGCTCATGATACCTAAGAAACACTTCTTAAATTTGGACACTATACTACACTTATTTACCTTTCACCAGAACTGTCACCCTCCCCCTCCAAGAAAAAAATAAACAAGAAAAGGAAGAAGATAAATACTAAATTACAAATTACAAGGTCCCTAATAAAAATAATCCCTAATTTTAAAAACATCCAAGTTGCTTCAGGCTTACCTTTAGCAGAGCACGGGCAATTGCAATCCGCTGTTTCTGCCCACCTGACAAAGACAATATTTAAAAAAAGAAAGCCTTAACAAAAAATCTTAGTAATAGGCTTTTATGATAAACCATATAGCAATTTGAAGGTAAGCTTCTTCTAGTTAGTCATAGCTGACACAGAGAGACCAGAAACTTATTTTAAAATATAGGTTTAAAATATATCAATCCCAAAATTAATAATAACAATTATTATCATAGCCAACATTTGTTGAGGACTTCCTATATACCAGGTATTTTCTTTTCTTTATTTTTGAGACAGGGTCTTGCTCTGTCACACATGCTGGAGTGCAGTGGTGTGATCACTGCTCACTGCAGCCTCAATCTCCTGGGCTCAGGTGATCCTCCCACCTCAGCCTTCCAAGTAGCTGAGACTACAGGTGTGCACCAACACACCTGGCTAATTTGAGGTAAAGATGGGATTTTGCCATGTTGCCCAGGCTGGTTTCAAGCTCCTGGGCTCAAGCATTTCGCCCACCTCAGCCTCCCAAAGTGCTGGGATTATAGGTGGGAGCCACAGTGCCCAGCCAATACCAGGCATTTTCTATATGCACTGCATGCATTTATCTCATTTAATGTTTTTATTTTAAATAATTTCAAACAAGGTCTTGCTCTGTCACCCAATTGGAGTGCAACAGCATGAACACAGCTCATTGTAGCTTAATCTCCTGGGCTCAAGTGATCCTCCCGCCTCAGCCTCCTGAGTAGCTGGGACCACAGGCCCATACCACCACACCTGGCTAATTTTTAAAATTTTTTGTAGAGACGGTCTTGCTCTGTTGCCCAGGCTGGTGACAAACTCCCGGACTCAAGAGATCCTCCTGCCTTGGTCTCCCAAAGTGCTGAGATTGTGAGCCACTGTGCCTGGCTAATCTTTTAAAATATCCTATGCGATAGACCCTATAATTTTTCCCATTTTACAGATGATAAACTGAGATACAAAGTAACATGACCAAGATCTCACAGTTGGTAAGTAATGGAACTGAGATCTGAACCTACACAGGTATGCAAGGGGTATGCTCTTAAAAGCATGTAAAGATCTACGCTGTTCATCGCTACACATACTTCCTCCCTAGCAGAATATCCAATGTAGCAAGGAAACCAGAAACTCAAGATATTTGCAGGTTTCCAAAGTACACTTGAAATGTCTAGGAGCAAAGGACATCAATGGTGCTGAGACTGGTAATTCTAACATTCCCACATTATAGCAGTTATTTTTTATTTTTTATTTTTATGTTTTGAGATAAGAGTCTTGCTCTGTCTTCCAGGTGGAGTGCAGTAGTGCAATCATGGCTCACTGCAACCTTTCACTCCTGGACTCAAATGATTCTCCTGCCTCAGCCTCCCCAGTACCTGGGACTACAGGCAGTGCCACCATGCCCAGCTAACATAGCGCTTATTCTTTATGATGTTCTTTTTTTCCCCTCCTCTAGAGGAACAAATAGTAGTATGTGTGTATGTATGACACTGAAAATTACAGTAGGCCACTCTAATCCTCCCTGTCTTTTTAAGCTCAAATTCTACTAAAAGTGAGGGAACAAACTGGAAGTAGGTGTGGGAGAAGGTGGGATGGAGTTGAGTCAGCAGGATCTGTGTTGATTCCCTCCCTATCTTTGTCTCACCCCATCCTCCCTCCTCTTCTCCAGGGACGCTACTCCTAAGTCACACTTGGAAAGTCTCAGAGCGCTCACTCCTCCCAACTTACATTGTTTATAAAACCCAATTCCACTTCTGGGGATGAAAAACATTCCTTTTTGGTTGATTTTATTGGCTGAAGATACTTATCAACAGTAGTTGCTGGACATCATTTTATTTCCTATAAGAGAGGTTCATCCTCTACATCTGAGGTGTGTGGTGCTGCTAAATGCTGCTCTCAAACAGGAAACCAGTGCACACAAGGAGAGCAGTGAGGAAAACCCTCTCCCGAGCCTCTGATTGGTGAGGATGCCTGAGTGCCCTGAGGTACGTCCTTAGAGCAGCCTGCTGATGGCTTAGGTCCCCTCTGAGTCATCTGTGGTGCCAGTCAGCACACTGGGAATCTATTACTAGGTGCTCTGTCTTCCTCCCAGAAAGTCAGAGCAGACTGGAACCTCTGGTTACTTCACTGAGAAACAGAGCTGGAGGATCCTGCCAGAGGGAAAGACATGCAGAATCTGTTTCAAGGGAGGTGATGTGCTCTTGGGACAAGCCTCACACTTCAATGTTCAATAATTTCACCACGAGCAGTTTAAACTGGGTTTCTGCCCCGTTTCTCAGATACATTTCAGAGATGGAGTAGCAGTTCACTTTTACACAGCAGAGAGGAATTCTACTCCTGGAACATCTCAGATCTATCAAAGATGCCTTTTCATCTACTGCTTATGTATGTTTTTAAATCATATACAATAAGCTTAAACCCTTTTGTTTTATATTTTCTGTGGTCTAACTTCAAATGAAAAGTTTAGCACTGGAAAAGACTACTGTTTTATTCTAATCTGCCAGCCTTCACTGTGGCAAAGAGGCACCCACCCTCTGCTCAAGCAGAGACAAGGAATTTTTTTTGTTTTTTTTTTTCTTTTTAAGACAGGGTCTCACTCACTCTGTCACTGAGGGTGGAGTGCAGTGGTGCCATCTCAGCTCACTGCAACCTCTGCCCCGCTGGGCTCAAGCAGTACTCCCACCTCAGCCTCCTTAGTAGCTGGGACCATAGGCGCACACCACCACACCTGGCTATTGTTTTGTATTTTTGATAGAGAGAGGGTCTCGCCATGTTGCCCAGGCTAGTCTCGAACTACTGAGCTCAAGCAATCAGCCTGTCTTGGCCTTCCAGAGTGCTGGAACTACAGGCGTGAGCCACTGTGCCCAGCCAGGAGCTTGTTATCTTGCAAGGAAACATTTCAATATTTGTATTGACAAAAAAAAAGTGTTTAGCTGAAAATTTATTTCTCTTTAAGTTCTACTCATTGGTTCCATTTCTGCACTTTAAAGAAATACAAAGTAAGTCTTCCTCTCCTCAAAATACGGCACCCATAATGTGATCCAGAATGATAGGTGTGGTCTGACATCACAGGGAACCACTCACTTTGCCTTACAGCTGTGAGTCCACTTAGCAAATTATGGCCCACAGGCCAGACCTGAACCATGGCTTGTTTTTGCATGGCCCTCAAGCTAAGAATGTGTTTTACATTTTTAGAGTTGTTAAAAAAACACACACACACAAAGAAGAATGTGTGACAGCAATCATATGTGGCCCATAAAACCCATGATTCTTTTTTTTTTTTTTTTGAGACACAGTCTTGCTCTGTGTCCCATGCTGAAGTGTAATGGCAGGATCTCGGCTCACTGCAACCTCCGCCTCCTGGGTTCAAGCAATTCTCATGCCTCAGCCTCCCGAGTAGCTGGGATTACAGGCACCCACCACCATGCCCAGCTAACTTTTTGTATTTTCAGTAGAGACGGGGTTTCACCATGTTCACCAGGCTAGTCTTGAACTCTTGACCTCAAGTGATCCACCCGCCTCAGCCTCCCAAAGTGCTGGGATAACAGGTGTGAGCCACTGTGCCTGGACAAAACCCACAATATTTACTCTCTGGCTCTTTAAAGAAAAGTTTGTCAAACCCTGGTCTAGCATGTAGGGAGTAAATAACTCTTTCAGTTTCAGCTTTGTTCCTGATGCACATTCCCTGACTCCCTGGGCAAATCATCCTGCCACTTCTTATCTTATTTTCTTTAATTTTTGAGGGTCTCAGGTTGCAAAGCACAGTTTTTTGTTTTGTTTTGTTTTTTTCCAGATGAAAAAAAGCTTGCTGTGGCTGAGTACTACTCAGAATTTTTGGAACACATATGGGGTAGAAAGTGAAAAACAACACTGGGGAGTTTTCCACATGTAAGAGAGCAAGTGGTAAGGCTAATTTCAAAAACTTTAAAGATGAAAACCTAATTAGAAAATAATACTGCAATACAGAAACATGTGGGCCAGGCATGGTGGCTCATGCGTGTAATCCTAGCACTTTGCGAGGCCAAGGTGGGCGGATCACAAAGTCAGGAGATTGAGACCATCCTGGCTAATGCGGTGAAACCTTTTCTCTACTAAAAATACAAAACATTAGCTGGACTTGGTGGTGGGCGCCTGTAGTCCCAGCTACTCGGGAGGCTGAGGCAGGAAAATGGCATGAACCTGGGAGGCGGAGCTTGCAGAGAGCCGAGATCGCGCCACTGCACTCCAGCCTGGGTGACAGAGCAAGACTCCGTCTGAAAAAAAAAAAGACAAAAAACAAAACAAGAAACATGTGAAAAGTTATTTAGATATAGAGATTTTGCTACAAAGCAGTAAAGAAATGCACCTGAGAGGAGAACACCCTTTTCTCCAACCACAGTGTTGAACCCTTGGGGGAAATTCCGGATGAAGGCCACTGCATTGGCCACTTCAGCCACTCTCTGGACTTCCTCAGCGGTCACAGAGGAAGGGTCATCAGCACCATAAGCAATGTTCTCAGCGATTGAGCAAGAAAACAAAATGGGTTCCTACAAATAGGAAATAAAACATATCACGAATTTCAAACAGACTTCCAACATGTCTAATAAATTGAGACCTAGCAGTCTTTTTTAAAATTTATGTTTTGCCATAAACAGGATTTTATCATCTGTAGTTCTCACCATGCTGCAGGCAATGAGACCCCACAGCAGGTGCCCGCGAGGCACCTGGCACATAGTAGGAACTTCATAAATGTCAGTCCCCTGCCTTAGGAATCAGGAGGCACCAGGAGACCCCGAGTCCCCCTTCATTTTCCAGCTGCTTGCCTTCCACTCAGGACAAAGTGGGGAATCCATCTCCATCCATTACTTTTTGAAATACACACAAACCAGATAGAAACAAACAATTCTGACAGAACTGTATAAAGTAGTCCTAAAAAATAAGCAAACTTCCAGGCTCTTTTCTCCATCCCTAATAATATACACCACTCATGTCCCTACACTCCTGAGCACCCATCACTGTCCACCTGCCCTCACCCAAGTGGAGTGAGGAGAGGATGAGCTAATTGCAAAGAGAGGTTCAGAAATGGGGGGAGGCTCAGGTTTGTATGCTGTGTGCACAGCCTGTTCAATAAAAATTAAAACAGCTGCAGCAACATTTCCGTGCCCCAAAGGGTCTTGTGAAAATGGCCTTATCAAAGTGACCACATTACATTAACACTCTGCTTTGAAATCTGCAACTTCTTTGCAGGGAGGACTCTGGCTCTTGCCAGTCTTTGCTCACTTCTCCCTGAAACTCATTATGCAGAATAGTAGACTGTGGCTGGTGATAAAAATGGGAAGTGGGGAAGAATCAATAAAAGCTAAAAAAGAGTCAATAAAATCTTCTATCATTTCCTCCCCATCCTCTAGACTATCTAGTAATGGCGGTCTCCAGCTTTCAATAACAAGTCAATGCTTTGCTCTTGCTCAAGGGTTTAGAGTTTTCAGGAAACAGTGCTACTCGCAAACCTAAACAACCTGCCATGTGAGATGAGCTTAATACATCCCGAAGACTTCCGTTCCTTCTCTCTTGAGACATTTGAGACAAAAAACAAAAAACAAAAAACAAAAGACAAAAGTAATTTTAAAAGAAAGTGAAATAGAAATGGAAGCCTCTCTTCTTACCTGACTCACTGTCCCAATCTTGGATCTCAGCCACACTGGGTTTAGCTGACGGATGTCATGGCCATCAAGACTAATAGTTCCTTGTTGAGAGGAAAGGAAAGAGTCACTGAGTGTGATGAGGCTGATGATCAACACAGAAAAGATCCGGTGGGAACATTCCAGACTCATTTTTTAAAGATCAAAATGTATGGAAAATCTCCAGATGGACTCTAAAACTAACGTATTTCATGAAATTTCAAAGCTAAAAGGGTCTTTCTGGATTGTCCAACTTATTGCCTCCCTATAGTAGCTGGATGACTATCTCACCTAGTCCATCTGTCCAGCTTGCCTTCCTGTACCCTGGAGGTTGTAGGGAGTTTTCCCAAAACTCCCTAGTGACTTAGGATTTCACCAATAAGATGCACTTGTGCAAAGCTTTAATTAAGAAGGGAGGGGCAAGCCATGAGGCGTCCACTTGCTGGCACGAATACTGGCAGAGGTGGCACAGTTCTGAAGCTGGTACTCATGATGGCAACTGCCTAAATTTGCAGCTTCCTGACCATGCCAGTGTCAGCAGCTACCTTGAAGGCTTGGTTCTGGGGTGGAGTTCTGGGAACTGTCCTGGACGTACAATCTAGAATCTATTTTGTCACCCCTGTCAGTGATTTTTGAGCTCTTATATTACTCCTTAAAATATCCCTTTCTGTATAAGCTTAGTTGGTGAGGAATCTGTTGTCTGCAACTAAGAATCTGGTCGATACCATGGCAGAGCTTTTAAATAATCAGACGCTATCTCTATGACTTTCAGTAACGTAATTCTTCACATTGAGGGTGCTCAACAATACTTGGGGATGATGACAACAGTGACAGCATAAGAAATGCCATTTCTTCTCAGTTAATGTTGTGGAATTATAGGAGCCAGGGGGAAAGTTTCACAAACTGGCAAAAACTTGAAGTCTCTGATAAAAAAGCACAAAGCTCTCTCTAGACTACACGTGGCAGACATTTAACTGCAGCTTGCTTTGTCCTGGATTTATTCATTGTGATGAAGAAACTAGAGACTCAGTATTTTTACTTAAATTACAGCAACCTAAATAGGATTGTTTTTTGTCTTTTTTTTTTTTCCTTTTTGTGGAGAACAAGGTCTCACTATATTGCCCAGGCAGGTCTCAAACTCCTGGGCTCAAGCTATCCTCCCACCTCTGCCTCCTAAGAGCTGAGATTACGGGTGTGAACTACTGTGCCTGGCTAACTAGGATTTTTTTAAACTCCAAATTTTATAGCAAGTCAATGGTGAGTCAAGAAAGTGATTCCAGAGGCAAACAGTGTAGTAAGCCCCATTTTAACACAGGTGGTGATTCCGTGGGTCAGGATTTGCAAGTCACATATTTATCTGACATGTAACCAGCTCTCACATTATTTTAACCAAAAAGCATAAGCACAAAGACACAAAACATTCTTTTCATTTTTTAAATTAAAGAATTTTTTTTTTTTTTTTTTAATAGAGACAGGGTCTCATTCTGTTACCCAGGCTGGTCTCCAGCTTGTGGCCTCAAGTGATCCTCCCTCCTCAGCTTCCCAAACTGTTGGAATTACAGGTGTGGGGCTCCACATCCAACCAAAATACTCTTCTAAATTCATGATTTGATTTTTACTAAGAGTTGTTTGCTTGCTGATATTGTTGTCTACTACAGGGAAGACATAAAGAAGTAAAATCATGACAATCTCTGCTCTTAAAGATCTTATAATCCCGTTAAAAATAAAATAAAAACCAGAATGAGAGAAATCATCCATTACGAAAATCCCTACTAGCTCAAAATAGTTTCAATGGAAAAGTCACATAGAAGCGAATCACTGGCCAGGCATGGGGGCTCACGCCTGTAATCCCAGCACTTTGGGAGGCCGAGGCGGGCAGATCACGAGGTCAGGAGATCAAGACCATTCTGGCTAACACGGTGAAACCCCAACTCTACTAAAAATACAAAAAATTAGCCGGGTGTGGTGATGGGCGCCTGTAGTCCCAGCTACTCAGGAGGCTGAGGCAGGAGAATGGCGTGAACCCGGGAGGCGGAGCTTGCAGTGAGCGGAGATCACTCCATTGCACTCCAGCCTGGGTGACACAGTGAAACAAAAAGAAGCGAATCACTGATTGCCAAGTTAACTGTGTTATAATAAGCACTCGATGGGTCACAGGCAAAGGCAGAGGTTCTCCAGGAGCTCCCCATCACTCCTGCGCCTAGCACGCACGCTGGCAAACGGCGGTTCTCCAGGGTGCTGCTGGTGTGTAGGGATGTCCAGCAGCAGCCTCGGCACCTTCTCCTGGCTGCTAAGCACAGCCTCGTCCACCTGCTCCCAGTAGAGGGCATGTCCAGAGGACATACCCACATGGGAGATGAGGACGTAGAACTGGGGAAGTGACTCTGGGCATGAAGAGGTAGGACACATTATATACAAAATGCTCTAAAGGCGTCTGTATGAGCTGTCATGCCCCTGCAAATGACACCTTCTGTTTGAGGGATTTCTTTCCATTGGCACTTAGAAAAGAAGGTACTCTCACAAAAGAAGGTATCTGCATGGTTTGAGCATCTCCCAGGGCACAAAAGTGGGAGCAGAGCTCGGGACAGTCCGCTGGTGCTACACTGTGGTGAACCACTTACCAGAAGCAGGGTCGTACAACCTCAACAGGAGCGAAAGCACTGTTGATTTGCCTGAACCACTTGGGCCAACCAGTGCCGTGACAGATCCTGATGGAATGGAAAGGCTGAAATCCTGAAATATGGGCACCTCTGGGCGAGCTGGATAGGCAAAATGCACGTTCTTAAACTCCAAAGCACCCTGGAAGCTTTTCTCATTTAAGATGACCCCCTCTGAAACATAAAATGGAATAGCAATTACTTAAAGCAAAAAATTAAACTCATAGCTGAACTCGGTTCTCCTACTCATCTGGCTATGGATGGGTGACTCTAGCACAGCTAGTCCTGGCATATGAGCTCTTAAAGGGCAAGTCAGAAGCAGGCTAAATGCTTCCCACGTGCCAACTCTGCACCTACTATATCCAAGGTACTACACATAGATGGTCTTATTTGATCCTGACAACCCTGAAAGGTAGAAATTGATTCTAATTTTGCTGATGAGGACACTGAAGACCACAGACAACAACCTGCTTAAGGTAACAAGTAGTGGAGTTAAGATCCACCCTTGTAGTCTGGCTTCAAACCCAATGGCCTTCTGTCTATGCCACTGCCTCTGTGTAGCTCCAGAGTTTATTTTACCTACCTGGAATAAATATTTTGAAAGTTATGATGAATAGGGGAGCACTGCACAACAGCTGCAGAACTGGAGGGGGTCAGAGGTCTGTTCTGCCCTGGTGTTCACCTGCTCTGCTTTGGCAGACACCACTCAGACTCTCTCAGTTGGGCCTATTTCCTAGGCCTATCACATTGGAGAATATTTGGCTTTCACTTATGGACCTGGGGCTACCTAACAATGTCCTAGGAAGTCAATAAGCAGTTGGGAGTGGTTACTACTCAGCCATTTCTCCTGATTCCTGGCTAGTTGGTCTACACCCTACAGCTCCAGGGAAGTCACTGGTAAGAAGGAGATGGCTCCAGCCAACGAGTACCAGCCTCCCCTACCCCACCCCAAAAAGCTAAGAAACTTAGATATTTTCTTATGTCTGATTCCTCCTCCCTTCCTCCCACCCTAGCCCTCCACAGAGATGTCAGAATCACTAGGGAAGATCAATTTGGTGGACTAGCCGGGACCCTTCCTAGTCACAGCCCTGGGCCACAATGACTTCCACCCTGCCCTTGGCAGTAATGCCCAGATGCAGGGAGGGGAACAGAGGGCAGCACGCTATGTGGCCAGCCCATGCATCCAGGGGCATCCTGGCCCACAGCATGCCACAGCAGCTGTCCCTCCCCTTCTCATAGAAAACCTGACCACCCCCCTGCCCGGCCCGCCATGCAGCAGGACCCACACCTTTATTGTGGCTCGTCCCTCACTCCCTCGCAGGCAGGGGAAGAGCTGGTTTCATTGTTCGAAGCCACATTTGTTTAATCCTAGCAAAGAAACAACCCATTTTGAGACCCACCGTTAAAAGGCAGCTTGGGCTCTCTCTCCAGGAGCTCCCAGAGGCGCCCCCCGGCACCCAGTCCTTTCATCAGCTCCGAGTAGAAAGAGCTCAGACCTGAGGATGAGAAGAAGAATCCACACACATGTCCACCACTGGCACCGGCACTGACCACCACTCCTCTGAGAGGAGTGACAATGATTGCTTTTAATATGAAATCTGTTATTAATATTTTCAAAAAACAACTTGAAGCAGCTTCCTGGGAACTGATACTCAAAATTCCCTTGTCTCATACTCTAGTTTTCCTTTGGCTTTTCCTCCTCCAGTTTCATTGATTGATTGATTGATTGATTTTTTTTTTTTTTTTTGAGACAGAGTCTCACTCTGTCACCCAGGCTGGAGTGCAGTGGCACGATCTTGGCTCACTGCAATCTCGATCTCCCCGGTTCAAGTGATTTTCCTGCCTCAGCCTCCCGAGTAGCTGGGATTACAGGCGCACACCACCAGGCCTGGCTAATTTTTTTATTTTTAGTAGAGATGAGGTTTCGCCATGTTGGCCAGGCTGCTCTCAAACTCCTGACCTTAGGTGATCCACCCCTCTCAGCCTCCCAAAGTGTGGGATTATAGGCGTGAGCCACTGCGCCCAGCCACATTGCACTGATTTCTAATAAGGATTTAATGTTTGATCAGGGATTGAAAAACATATATAATCATACTCATCAACCACTGGATTAAAATCATAATGCTGCAGAGGAAGTCTACCTAGTTAAAAGCACAGCAATTTAACTGTAATGCTCTCTCAAAATTTAAAAAAATACAAAATACTTCAATGTTGATTTTAAAGACAAATCCACAAAATAATACCTCACCTTCAGGCGATCAATAAATACAACTTTGATAAGCTACTCACATTCTCCCATATACTTCAAGCAATCTCTAGATTACTTATAATACCTAATACAATGTTATGTTATGTAAAATAAATAAATAAATAAATAAATAAATAAATAAA